AGTCGAGAACCATTTTGGGTATTAACTCAATATCATATTTATAGTAAAAATTTTTATTTTTTTCATTATTTATCTTCATAGAAAGTATTTTATTTTGTAATAAATTTATTAAAATTTTAATTAAAAATACTAAAGATGAGCTTACATATAAACTCCATGCATATTTTGTTCCATATCACTTCTCTGTAACAAAGAATAGCCTTAATTAAGTGGTTGGGGCTATCAAGCTAGACCACTAAATTTCGAATTAGTAAATACAAGATTTTAAATTCAATCGTAATGACATGATAATCGGACAAAGTACTAGATCTGACCCGGTGCGACTAACCCGTCAAAACAGTCAAACAACGTACGGTCAGAAGCAGAGAACATGTGAATCGGTTACAAGAGAATGCATTAAGAACACCGCCTCATCAAAGATAGGAGTTATGGATGGTAGTGTCACTTATTAGGAGCCGGTCGTTGCTATCACTATTGTAACCATTCCACATGTTCTTTGCTCCTGACCATTGTTTGACTGCTTTGATGGGTTAGACGAACCGGGTCGGATCTATTACTTTATTCAATTATCCTCGCTTATATAGGTTTATAGTATTAAGACTGACCATATGTAGCAAAAGAGGACGCGCTCCTGTTTATATATGGTACACAAATCATAGCAATACAATTGTTTCTGTTTACTAATACATAAAATATATCCGATAACATTATTACCGGTCACCTAAAATACCAAAATATACTAATAAATCAAAAGAGTGAAATATATTTTGACTCACTGTGGTAGCTAGCACCTAGCAGTAAAAAAAATGCAGTACAAATGCAGCTATATGCCCTGCAGGACCATTGCACTTCACCATTATGCCAACAAAGGGTAAGACTTTAATTTGATAATCCCAATTAGCAGAAGCATTAATCAGGGCAAGTGATATAATCCTGCAAGATACTATCATCTGGAAACACTAATTATTGTTATTTGTTACAGCACAGAGAGCATATAAAATAAAAAATGAAGAAGATTCACCCTCCATTGATTAGATGTCTAGAGTAGTTAAGAACCCTCCAAATCTTAAAGCAGGCTTTTCAAGAACTTGGCATGATCCCCACCACTTGTAAGCTTTATGAAGGTACAAATGTACCCATCCTCAGGGATGGACAGTAACACTACACACCAGGGGAGAAGAGGACCTTTCGGAGGGGCATTCTTGTCAAATCAATTTTTGATTGGATTTTGCTGGGAATTAGTGCATAATCACATGGGTGTGAAATTAGGTCTCATGTGCCCACATGCATGGGAATCCTCTCCTCTTGTGTTATTATGAGCTCTGTTAGTTTAATTTTAAGCTATATTAAGGGTCAAACTTGCAAAACCCTCTCTCTTCAGACCATTTCATTTTCTTATATAAAAGGATATATAAATGCCATCCGATTGAGTAAAACTCTAATCACGTATCATAATTTTACTGAGAGAAGGATAAAATCAACATAAAAAGTCATTTTTCATATACCTCAACTCTGAGAATAGAAGTGATTCCCTTTATTTCGGTACATAATTAAAGGTTTCGTTTGTGTTCATGTTGAAGATTTCTAATGAGAACTCGACAGGCAGGGTGTCCTCCTTCTTACTGTGACCTTTTTTTTTTTTTTTTTTTTTTTTTTTTTTTTTTTTTTTTTTTTGTGTAACAAAAAAAATCTGAAGAGTCATTATCTAAAAATATGCAAAAGGTAAACCCTACTCATGTGTGACTAGCTCAACCGAGACAGTGGCTATGTTTGACAAACCTAGCTGAAACGGTAGCTCAGTCACACAATCTTTTTTTTAGACCAATTAAAACATGTCACGTCAGAATAGAGTAAAAAACGAAACAAAAAATAAAAATAGATGTAATATTACTCTTCTAATTCATTTTTAATACTCCCATTGCAACTAAGCTCACACTCTATAGACGGGCTTAAACAAAAAAATTTATTTGCCAAAAGTTTTAAATAATTTAACAAATTTTTTTACAATATCTTACACCATTATTTCTGGTATATTAAAAGCATTAATCAATACTAGTACTTTTTTATCTTACGCAACTTTTAATATTATTGTACTAAGTATTGCGAAGACAATAACTAATGCTATCATGTACAACCCAAAAAAACATATAGTTGTACTATGGAGCATTGGAGCATCATTATTGTAAACTTTTGTCAGGAAATTAATTCTAGTTAAAATTTATTTTAATTTTTTTGTTTGATCAAGTCATGAGGTGTTCTGAATGGACCTTAATTGTAAGATGCACCTTTAATCTTATATCATATTCAAATTCATTCTTATTTACATTGAACCGGCCTAATTAAGGAGCAAAGTGCTGGCCAGATTGATTTTTCTTTTTATTGTCCCATAGTACTTTTCCATCCACCAATCCAAGAGTTTTGTTAATGCATGAACAGTTTTGCCCTGTCATGCATGAACATAATAATTGTATTCTAAATAATGGATAATGCCTAACCATTGCCATAAAAACCCATCAATTAGTGCAGCTTTTAGGGCAGCTAGCTCTTCTTGCTTTTGAGGTGTAGGTTGGCTGCATAAATAATACCAACATAGAAGAAGAAGCATGGAATTGACCTTATTACTATATTTTTTGGGATAAGGGTTAAATAAGCCCTCCAACTATGTGTCATAATGCAATTAAATTCTTGAACTAAAAAAATGTTAAATTCAATCTTTACACTTGTTAAAAATATACAATTAACACATTTAAGAGGTTACCAATATGTAACCAGTTAATTTTGATTGCATGACATCCTATGTGGCATTTCAATTAAAAAAATATAAAAAAAAAAAAGTCGCCAACTTCTTCGTCCCCAGGATTAAGAAGCTGGCATGCTTCACCGTAAGTTAAGAACGGAGAAACCATGACTGCTCCGTTCAAATCGGACAGAGAAGCCCGCGGCTAGTTTCTCCATCCGTTTCGGACGAAGAAACCGACAGTTGCCTTCTCTGTTCATTTCGGATGAAGAAACCGGCAATTTTTTCGTCCGAGCTGACGAAGAAGCTGACGAGTTTCTCCGTCCAGATCGGACGGAGAAACCCGCAAGCTACTTTGTCCATGTCGAACTGGACGGCTCTGACTCCTTCCAATTCAACGTGGACGAAGAACGGAAGAAGCCATGGCAGCTCTCTGCCATGGTGGTTTTTTTTTTTTTTTAATTAATTTGATTTATTATTTTAATAATTTTTAAAAAGAATTAATTTCACTTTTGATCCCACGACTTTAGAGGATCTATCACTTTTGGTGCACAACTTTAAAAGTTTTCAATTTTGGTGCCTAACTTTGTTGTTTTTATCAATTTTGGTCCTTTCAATCAAATTGACGATGAAATATTGCCAGATTTTATATTTTTAGGGGTAAAATCGTCACCCCAAGGAAACATCTTCAATATCTAAACAAAATCACTCTAAAATCATATCTATAGGTGTTTGATCGATGAGAATAATTGGGAAGACGGACAGAAACTAGACACAGATCTATGAGATTTATAGCATCGACGATTGCCAAACTCTTATATTTCTCTTAACATGATTTTTCTTTTGTTTAAATATTGAATATCTTTCCTTGGGATGACGATTTTGCCCCTAAAATGTAAAATCTGGCAATATTTCGCAGTCAATTTGATCGAAAGGACCAAAATTGATAAAAATAACAAAGTTAGACACCAAAATTTAAAAAATTTAAAATTGTGCACCAAAAATGATAGAACCTCTAAAGTCGTGGGACCAAAAGTGAAATTAGTTCTTTTTAAAAATATTAATCTATGTGACATTTTATTACGTGGCAATCGTGTGGCATGTGACTTGAAGATAACATGTTATTATAGGTCAAATTAGTTAATTGCACATTTTTAACAAGTGTAAGGGTTTTTGAATTTCTTTTTAGTTCAAGGGTCTAATTACATTTGATATATAGTTGGAGGGTTTATTTGACTTTTATCCCTATTTTTTTACTGGAAATAATTAACAAGAGAAATACTGGGCTTGGCCATAAAATGTCACAGCTCTATCCTCTGCAAATTAAGAATCTTGGTTAACAAAGCACAAAGATGCAAAATGTCCGATGATGCAATGTCACAATCTTAAACAGCCAAACATTATTTGGTAAGCTCAGCAGTAGAATATCCAAACAAATTTTATCAAAAAAAAAAAAATAAAATATCCAAACAAATTCAAGGGGTCCCGGATTCGGGTGAAATCAGAGTCAGAAACCGTACGGTTCATGGTTAAAACGGAAGAAGTTTCAGTCGGCGATTTATCTTCAGATCTAGTTTCTTTCTCCTTAAATAAGAGTAGGGGTTATGGAATTTCCTAATACTAAGGGGGTGTTTGGTTGGCATGAATTGCATTGATATTGAATTGTAATATAATTCAATGAAATGATAAATTATATTGTTTGGTTGGAGAGAATTGCAATTTATAGGTTTTCTAAGAATTGTAATTCACCCATACAAAGAAAAGGGAAAATGAAGGAAATGATATATTTGTCCTTGAATGTTATTATTAATATTATTGCACAAGAGTATTTTAGTTTTTATATCATTTCTCTCATTTCCATTCCGAATAATTCTATCCTCCTACCAAACAATGTAATTTTAAATTCTTTTCTCAGCGAATTACAATTTCTTTCACCCTTAATTCCTTCCTTCCAACCGAACGCCTTGGAAGAGTTAATACCAACCAGGGTCTTCTGAGCATAGTGGCCACCGCCACCACATATAGTCCTAAATTTTCAATGGTCTATTTTCAAATTTAACCACTCATGGTCATTTAACCGTCAAGTTAACCACACTCATGATCCTTCAAACTTCATAATCTTAACAATCTGTACATGGTCCTAACTTTGGTCTTATTCATTAACGGTTAAATTTGAAAGTTGAATGACTAAACGTGGCAGTACCACTATATTCGGAGGACTTGAAGTGGTATTAACTGAAAAGTGGCAGCTGTATGACTTTATTGTCCTACATGCTATGGATTTAAAATTAGAGGTAGCTAGACAGGGGGATGCCATAGAAGAAAGGTTTTGTCCTATAGCCCTAAAGTTGTCCATGTGCCTGTTTTCTATATTCTAAACACCCCCTTAGCTCATCTGGTTTCATCTTCACCAGACCACTTGGTTTAAATATTCTCACCGGCCAAAAGCTTTATATAAAAGAAGCTGAGTGAGAGAAAGATCGAACCTCAAAACTCTCCAACAAACACGTACTAATAATGCAGTAAAGCTTTTCTTTCTTTCTTCTTCTCTTTTAACGCCATCCATGGAGCCTTCTACTACTACTACCTCGAGTCCCAGGATTTCCTTCTCCGCTGATTTTCTCGACGGCGGCGAGGAGGAGGAGGAGGAGAAAGATTTCATATCCATAACCCCTAGTTCGGACACAGAGAAAGATGTTCGTAAAAAGGAGAAAGTGAGGAATAATGTAGCAGCGGAGTTTGAATTCCTGTCGAGCAAGATGAACAGCGAGAGCATGATAACCGCCGACGAGTTGTTCTTCGAGGGGAAGTTGCGTCCGTTCTGGCAAATGCAGCAGCAACAGTGCGAGAAGCTGAGCAAGATCAGCCTGAAAACGGAGAAGCACGCCGCCGCCGGCGAGGAGGAGAAGGAGGAGAGCTGCGGCAGGGCGGCGGCGGTGAGCTGGTTTCTGGACGAGGATCCATCTCCGCGGCCGCCGAAATGCACGGTGTTGTGGAAAGAGCTGTTGAGGCTGAGGAAACAGCGAGGTTCTTCTTCGTTGTCGCCGTCTTCTTCGACGTCGTCGTCTTCTTCCTCCGGGAGCTCTGTGTCCGGCGGAGATGAGAGCAAGGAAAGGGAGAATAAGAGTAATGTGAAGATGAGGGTGAAGAAAGGGCTGGAGAGAACTAGATCGGCGACTATAAGGGTGAGGCCTGTGATTAATATGCCTATTTGCTCACAGGGGAAGACCACTGCAGCACTGCCTCCCATTTTCTCCTCCTTCAAAAAGGCTAGTAAATTAGAGAGATGATTATGATGATGTCTCTCTCTAATTCAACATTCATTTTCGATCTGCTCTTCATCTTTTAGTATATCTTTTCTACTGTAAAATTTAGATTATTTTGATGTTCCCTCTAATGGATCTCATGAATTTCCCATTTTTTTCCATGTTTTGTCATCATAGCTTTGAATCTACTGCATTCCATACTTCACTTTGGGTATAGAAAAGTCTTAAATTTTTAAGTAAGCTGTTTCATCTTTAGAGGTATTAATAATGTATTTACAAAATCTTTACATTTTAAGTATAGATCAGCCTTATATCTCTATGTCAGCTGTTTCACCTTTAAAGGTGTCTATAATGTATCTATAAAATCTTGACTTTGGATATGAATAGCTTTAAATCTCCAAATCAAGTATTCCACCTTTAGAAATGTCTACAATTACTCATTATGTTCGACCGTTAAAACCCTGAATTACATCCAAAAAAGACCTAATCCCATTTAGTTCTTCAACAACCTGCAATAACAACACCATTTAAGCTCATCAAGTACATATATATATATATATATATATATATATATATATATATGAATGACGAGGAAACCGCAATCATTATACGAGAAAATATGTATTGGATAAGTCTCATATTTTGATCTTAGCAAATAAAGAATCACAAGAAAGTAAACCAGTTTAAGTTGTCTATAATTCATAAGCATATTTAGCTCTTGAAAATCCTGCAATAACACCATTAAAGCTCTAGCTTCATCAAGCATATATATTTAGTTACGTTCTTGAAGCACCTGCAATAACACCATTAAAGCTGCTCTAGCAATTCATCCAAGCATATTCTAGCAGTAAGGCTAGAATATCGCTTCATTTGGATGAAAAGAATTAAGAGTATAAAAGAAGCAAAAATGGGTAGACAAAGGGATTCATCAGGGCCTAACCATACAAATTTTCATGCATTTTACTAGCTCCATCTAAGGGAAATCTCAGATGCTTGATCTGCAAATACTATCAAACAGTAGTATAATATAATAATCTTATCTTAGAGACTGTATATATATATATATATATATATATATATATATATATATATATATATGTGTGTGTGTGTACTTAAATTAATGGTAGCAGTACCTTTTTTCCCCAAAAGATGCTTAATGGTCTCAAGAAACAACAAAAGTAGCCAGTGCAACACAGTATAGAGAACATGCAGATTAGTCCTCCAAATAACACAACCAATTCTTTCCACTATTCCAAAAGAAAAAAATAAATAAAGGTGAGCAGAGACATAATATCATTCTGAAATTATGAACATAATCCTGTTGGGCGAAAATCGGTAAAGGCCAAGTTTAATACCGAATAGCAGGGGATTGTTGAGCGAAAATAGGTAAAGAGTTTAAAAGGCCAAGCCTAGCACCCAGCATTTAAAAAATGTGTGACGGTGGGGTGTTTGGTAAATAGCTGTGAGCTGATTGGGTTAGTAGGTTTGACTAGTTGATAACATTAGCTGATTGTAGAATAATGTTTGATAAATTAGCCATTAGTTGATAGTTGATTACATGCAAAATGACTTTCTCAAAAAGCTTATTGAAAAAAAAAAAAACCTAATTTGAGCAGCTTTTTAAATTTTAGCATTTTGGAGCAATAAGCTATTACAAAAAACTAATTAATCAAATACTTATATTGGCTGTTTAACCAAGTCAAACAACTAATAATCGTCAAGTAAACCAAAATTAACTGACAAGCTAACTATGTTACCAAAGACGGTAAGAAAATAAAATTACGACTTTGCTACTAGCTATACCTTTTGACGTAAGGCGTAAGCGCTTCATCCTAACAAATCCATACAATTTTATTATGAGTATATCATTTGTAACAGTATACACTTCACTTGCATCATGGCAAATTGCAGGTACACAAGAAGGAAATCACATCACAATACAATTAAAAACTGTAAACCAAAAAACAAAAAAGATAGAATTAAAGAATCTAAACAGAGCTCTTTTCTTTATGTCAGTCTATACACAACCAATTAATTACACAAAATTGAGCAAACATTTCTTTCTACTGAACTATGGTGAGTTAAACAACAAATGGGGGACCATTTTCCATGCTCAAGAGTCAAGTCCTGGTCATTGTGTTGTACATATATGATTTACAAGAAAAGAAAAAAATGCAAATGGAGATTGTGAAAGTGTTGGACCCAAAATAATATACATTTATATAGTCTTCAATTTATCCACTTCCTCATCTAGGTGGTTCATGGTTGCGACAAGAATGGATTCCCAGAAGTCCTAAACGAAGAACAACAAATTGTTCAGTATAATACCAAAACGAGAAGGAAGGGCAGGCGATTAAATTCCTAAATCAGCAACTAAGAATTCAAACATCGTACATAAATTACCTAAGGTTTATTCCAGGTTTCCCAACAAGGTTGTCCGGTATTTTGCCAGTGAGATTATTGTTTTGCAAGAAGCTACAACCACATAAACAATACCAAGTCTCGTCAAAATATTCAGACACGAAAGAAATAGGAAGCCAAATGAAAGCCGGTTATGGACTAACGTTTAATACGATAGTGGAACTTACAGTTCATTAAGGCTTTCAATGCTCCCAAGTGACGGGGAAATCTCTCCACCGAGCAGATTGTCTTCCAAATGTCTGAAAGGGCAGATAATGAGTACGAGGAATTTCGGGGGAAAAAAAAAAAGATAATGAAATTGCCAGTGAAAGAAATAATGCAGTTCTTGACTTACAAAGTTTCCAATCTCTTTAAAGAAGATAAATCCGGGATATCTCCAGACAAATTATTGTTTCCAAGCCAGCTGTTAAAAGTCAGATAATAATATTAGCAAATGTATTTGTCCCTCGCAATGTACTAAAACCCGAGAGAAGTTTTTCGTTGCCTACATGCCACTCAATGCAGTCAAGTTGGCAATGCCCGGGGAAATTGTTCCCGATAGTCCCATCCTAGTCAAGTTTCTGCAGAGAAGAGGGAAAATGCATACACCTTCTAGTTATAATAGTCGAGACCAATTTACTTTTTCTTGATTCGTCGGGGATGGGGCATAAGCAACTTGGTAAATTAGAATAATCGCAACTTACAAAGCTATCACACGAATTCGGGATCCTCCAGAACACACAACTCCGGTCCACGGGTACTGAGGGGGAAGACATGGATCACCACTCCAATCAAGCGGAGGATTCTTGAAACTTCCCTTCAATCTTTCCAAAGCAATGACTGCAGGGAAAACAAAATCGATATCCCGGTTATACGAGTTTTCCTTTCTTTTCTACTGCAATTTATACGAGCCATAAAGTCAAGGGTCATCCAAGATGAGCTCATATGACACAACACGAGAAGACCAAGAAATAGTTACATACAGGTAATATTAACTAGCATTAGCCTTACCATCTCGAGTGTGTGTTTTCCCACCGAGAGGCAACACTTCAAAAATCTCTCCCGCATTGATCAGAGGACCAACACTTGAACCAGGGGCAGGGTTTAAAGTTATATTCGTAACGCCAGAGAGAAGCCATTCATTTGTAAAGACAGCTAAACCAGATGGAGTCACATTAAGGTTGGGGTAATAAACTAAACCATTCAAGCTTATGTTGAAAACTCTCCCCGAAAATGTATCCCGATCATCAGCAAAGTAAAGAGCAATATGATACGTTGCGTTTGGCAGAGGCGAGGGAGGCCACAACAACTCCAATGGTTCAGGCCTGTTCATTCCAAGGTGTGTCTGAAATAGTTTCTGAGGGGGAAGATTCCAAAAACCCGAAACAGACACATTGTTGAGATTTGGTTCAGCAGGAGAATGCACTCCAAACTGCTCCCAGTATCGATCAAATTGATCATCAGGGTATCTGGTAAAATCAAGTCATTACATACAGTCAAACAAAGAGGGGTATCTACAGTCAAAACATCTCTACAAAGCTATGGAAGCCTGTTTTATAACTTATATTATAGCCACTAAAAAGTTAAAATTACTCCTCTTCAAAACCATTGTTATCCATTCTTGTATTTCAAAAGCTTGAGAATTAATGTAATTGCAAGCTGTTCCTATATTACACTGAACCAATTCTTAGAATCAAGCGCTTACTACTTAACGCCAAAAGTTATAGCTAGTAGCGACTCTGGGTGCTGGACTAGGCCCTTTACCAGCCTCAGCCCAACAATCCCCCCTCCTAGCACCAACTGTGACCCTGATACCACTTGTTAGTGTCAAAAACTTACCACTTACGCCAAAAACTACAACTAGTAACGAAAACGCAACTTTATTTCCTTATAGACCGTCATCACATTCTCGGACTAGGTCCTTTGTCAACCTCTGCCCAACAATTCCCAGCCGGTACTAGACTTGGCCTTTACCGGCCCTTGCCCAACAATTTCCCCCTCCCAGCACCAACTATGCGCCAAAGGCTATAGCTAGTAGCAAAAGCGTAACTTTATTTCTTTATACACCGCCATCACATTTTCCCGACATTGGGTGCTGGACTAGGTCATTTATCAACCTCTGCCCAACCGTGAGTCCGTGACCCTGATACTACGTGTTAGTGTCAAACGCTTACCACTTACTCCAAAAGCTATAACTAGTAGCAAAATCACAACTTTATATACTTATAGAGTCATAGACCGTCATCACATTTTCCAGACGTTGGGTGCTGGACTAAGTCCTTTGCCCAACAATCCCAGGCATCCGGTGCTAGACTTGGCCTTCGCCCAACACCAATCAAAGTTAACTTAGCTTTAATACATTGAACCAGGCAAACTCAAAGCAAATAGCAATGAGATAGTAAGAACTAACCGAATAGGTGGGCCATTGTACCCAAAACTGTGCCTTGCATACAACCTAAGAGAATAATTGTTGAAATCAGTGGAATTGTACAAGGAATCCCCCACCAACAGAATCTCCAGAGCCGAAATAAACGGGTCGGAATCCGTATGATCATTGGCTCCCAAGCACACCCTCATGGCCTTATCCGCAGCCAAAAACATCCCTTCATAGTAAGTAGGGATCTGAGCAAGGTAATCCTGGGTTGTATTCACAGCGCTCCACAGAGTCCCATCCACAATCTGGTCAAATACCGGCGGAGTAGGATTCCCGTTGACCCCGCCGTAGAAATACGTTGTACGGACCATGTACTTCCCTCCGCGAAACACGGGGACAACGTAGCAGAATTTCTTGAAATTGTTGCCCACAACCGGGAATGTACGGGCGGTCGAAAGCCTGGGGTCCATACCCGGAAAAGACACGTTCTTGGGTGCCCCAACGGCGATATAGTCCCCGTCCGGCGACCATTCTTGGCCGTCGATCACCGAGCCAACAGCAGCGCCGCAGTCAATCAGAGCACCTGGGGAACAACAACAAAAAAAACGAACTTTAAAAACAAAACATAAACGAGAGACTATGAGTGCAAGCAAGAAAGAAAGATATGGAGATAAGGGAATTGAATTACGTCTAGGGGGTTGAGAAAGGGAGAGGGAGAAGAAGAGAGAGAGGAAGAGGAGGAGAGAGCAGAAGGGTATTGGGGACATGGTTGAAGGTGGGCGGCGGTGGGGGAGATGGAAGGTGTGGCTATGAAGGCTATGGTGGGTGGGCAGTTGAGTTGAAAGGGTTGAGGAAGAAAAGAGGAAGTATTAGTTTAAGTGAAGTAGGTGGGGAATTGAAGAGAAGAAATCAAATGGTGAATTGGACAATGAGGGAATTACGCGGGAAGAGAGACAACCAGGTCAAAGAGCTCCACCAAAAGCTTTGCTGCTCTGGCCGGCCTCTCGGCTTAATTATGGCTTTAGGGGTAATGAAATGAAAGGGCCGGAAATGATTAGGTCGAGAGAGAAGTATCAAATAGCCTCATCTATAATTTATAAGTGTTTAATCATTTTCAGTCTTTTTATTTCATTAAGTTTTGACATTATAAGTAAATTATATAACAATTGTAATATACTACAATGTAATAGAGCCAATAACATTCAAAAAAATATATATATAACGATTGTAATGGATTAATGGTCCTTTTCGTAATTTGTAATTATATATATATCTTTTGTCTTATCCATAGATGGTTGTTGGAATAAAATTTATTGTGTAATTTATTTTGTCTTTCTCTTTTCTTTTGCTCCTGTTTCATTGCACTATTTAGTATTCACTTCCATTTCACTGAGGACACACTATGAGCTAAAGAAATCAATTTAAACTTTCATATTTTTAACATTCTTAATAACTGATAGTACTAATTTACGGGCGTATGTACTCGTGGAGTAGGCAAGAAGTGTACCGTAGGTAATACATGTGTGTGTAATGTCGAATGTATGTAGGATATACCATATATAATGAGTATGAACAAATAAACAAGAGATATAGATCAACAAATTCTTTTATTCATGTTTGTTCTTCTGCATTTTTGTAGAGGGAAGGGGGAGATCATGCGTATAGAGAGAGAGTGGTGAGAGGAGATAACCCCCCTTCCCCCTCCCCCCCCTAATTGAAGGGCAAAAGGCCCTTTTATAGGCACAAGAAGATGATGAGTTTGACCCGTCATCTTTGACCTCAACCCGAACCGTTTGACCCTACTGAAGCAGGAAGACGGATCGTACCAGGAGCCTGAACCCGGGTATATTCTCCATCAATAACACAATTACTTTGATATTTTAGTGAAAAGTTATTAATTTTTAGATACAAGTGTCAAATAGATGAATTTATTACTTCGAAGTGTTCAATTCCCCCATCAATTAAAACATAATCTAATTGGACAACACTTACCTCTAAAAATTTGTTAACTTTTTTTTTTTTTTTCAGGTTGCCACTCTCCTAATATGTAATTTTATTTAAATAAAAATGGTGATATGTAGAATTTACTTCCTAATATCTAGCTCCCTAGTCTAGCGTGCGAAATAAATTTGTACACTCCCGAGAATTATTCGCATGGCATGGTAAGCCCATCTTTCAGATTTCAAACAATTAACGAATACATTTGCACGATTCTTTCCGGATACGAGAATTGAATAATTTGTCTGAACTTTTTGCGGAGTAGAAAATGTTGTTTCGAAGAAGCGAGTCGAAGCTGTAATGCCTATTGCGACAGGTCACGAACGGGAAGAGCTCGAAGCTGAGCTTGAAGTGAGTTTTCTGACATCCTTTAATATTCTCCCACTTTATTTACTGGTTTTTTTTTTTTTTTTTTTTTTTTTTTTTTTTTTGGCTAACACGGAGTATCATTTGTATGTTTCGAACGGTGGCCTAGGTTTCTCGCGGGAGATTAGAAAATAAATTCTAAATCATTACCATTTTTATTTAAATAAAATTACATGTCAGCAATGTGGAGTGGTAATTTGGAGGTAACCTACAAAAAAAAATAATAATAATTGACAAATTTTTAGAGGTGAGTGTGCAATCGTTATACCGTGCACCAGGGTGCACATAGCACTGTGCGCCCCGCGCCTCCCAAAACAACGTCGTTTTGTTAAGTTGTTAAAAAAAATTCACTGTTTCTGACAGGATAATAGGGCTGGCACCCGACCCGGATCACAAATGAGCATCTGACTCAGCATCACATGGGAACCCAACGGGGCAGAACTCCAACGGTTAGAATTCCAACAGGTGTCACCTTTATTGTCATTGAAGCCACCTTTGATGCCACCATTGATGAGAGAGAGTTAAAGCCTCAACGCCTCATTCATGACTCTTCATATTCTTGCCGTTAGCTCAACTCCCCAAGGATGTCTCTTCATGTTGTTACCGTTAGGACCTAGCATAAATAGAACTTCCCTCAGCTGAGCAGGGGACACACTGTACTTTCTATACTGAGACAAAGGCAATACAACTATTGTCACTTTCTTATTCGTTACTCTTATATTATATTTTCGGTAACATATTTACCGTCATTGGTGCTTTCATTGAGAGCCTGAGTCCAATACTCAAGCAGGCTATAACACAACTCTTTTTCTATTTCAACAGCAAGCTTGAAAGAATGGCGTCCCGCAGCTCCCACGGTTCTCGCAACGTGAACAATGGCAACGCCTCAGGTGACCTCCGTGACCTATTCACCAACAATCGCGGAGGGGACCTCCAAGAACAGCTCAACAACGGGAGGCCCGGGGACCTTCGAGACCAACTCAACAATGGAGGAGACCTTCGAGACCAACTCAACAATGGAGGGGACCGCCGAGACCAACTTCACAATGGAGGGGCGAACCAAGTCGTGAACCTCCAGGCGACCATTCAGCAAGCAGTGACGGCGGCACTAAACCAAGTGGCGGTGGGACTACAAGGCCAAGTGCCCCCGCCGCGGCCTCAGGAAATAGAGGTAGAATCCCCACAGAGGGTGGATGCCCAGGACGCAACCCGTGCCGCGAGGGACACAGGGCGTCGCACTAGGACCGGGGGTCCGGGAGAGGGCACCCAAAGAAGCGGACCGGCCGGACGGCAACCTAGGCCCTCCCACTCTGCCTTAGAACGGTTGGGACACGCGGCGCCCACTCGGCAAAGGCCGGAGTCGCGTGCCGAGGGGTCCTCCGCTAGAGGCCCTCGCTGACACGAGGAAAGGGAAGCGGAAAGATCGCGCATAGAAAGGATGGGCGCATCTCGTGGGCCGGCCCCGCGCCGGCACTGTGACGAGTCGGCCCTGCGTCGACACTCGGATGAGCGACGCTTCGATGAACCGGCCCCGCGTCGGCACTTGGCGGAGCGGCGCGATGAGCCGACTCTGCGTCAGCACTCAGTGGGCGAACGACGCGCTGATGAGCAGGTTCCACACCGACACTTGGATGGACAAAACGTCGAGGAACCAGCTCCGCGTCGACACTCAGATGGACGGCACGTCGATGAACTAGCCCCACGCCGACACATGGAGGAGCGGCAGCCGGCTCCGCGCCGGCACCCTGACGAGTCGGCCCTGGTCGAAAGGCTGCAGAGAAGGATCGAGGAGTTAGCAAGAAGGGTGGAGGCACGGGAGCAGTCGCCGGAACCTGAGGTACGGATGGCAGCACCGTTCTCCCCAAGCATCATGGACGTACCTCTGCCGAGGGACTTCAGGTTACTCGCCATCAAGGCGTACACGGGAGTCACTGACCCACGTGTCCACATGACTAGGTACAAGGCTGCCATGGTAATGATCGGGGCAGAGGACGCCATCATGTGCCGAGCGTTCTTGTCCACCCTGGATGGAACGACCCAAGCTTGGTTCAACACCATCCCGGACGGGTCGATCCAGAGCTTTGGAGAGTTGTCCAAAAGCTTCCTGACATACTTCTCCGGTAGCATACAGCGTAAGAAACCCTTCTCTCACCTCTGCGTAGTAAAGCAAGATAGAGGCGAGAGCCTCAAAGACTTCCTGATCAAGTGGAAAAAGAAAGTCAATAATGTCTACGACTTTGACTCCAAGGCGGCGATCCCGATATTCATCCATGCCTTGAGATCGGGGTATTTTCACAAGCAGCTGAACGCCTACCACCCCCGCTTTTACGAAGATTTGATGAGGATGGCTAGCCGCTATGCCGAAGCGAAGGAAGTCGACAAGAAGAAGAAAGATGAGGAGGACGACAGGAAAAATGGGAAACCTGGGAAAGCGGGTTCGCCCAGCCAAGCGCCACGTTCGAACCACCCGGCCGCAGGGAAAGGCCGGGAGCATGAACTGCCTCGCCTGGTTCCCTTGCGTAACCTAACTCCACTTACCCATCCCGTCAGTGTCATCCTAAAACAGGCTGAGGAGATGGGAATAGTCGAGTTCCCACCAGAATGCATGAAGGTCTCCCCAAAAGGAGACCAAGCAAAGTATTGCAGGTTCCATAGGCAACCTGGGCACGACACGGATGAATGTAACGTACTGAAGAGACAAATAGAAGAACTCATCCAGCAGGGCTACTTCCGGCATTTTGTCAAGCGATCCAAGCAGCAGCAGCCGCAGTGCGATCCATCAAAAAATCCAGCACCAAAAAATGTCTGGAGAAATGAGGATGTCACCGAGCCGTCCACCTTGAAAAAAAGAGAACACGACCAAATATCTGAGCAGAGTGATAGCGAGAAAGAAACCGAGGTGGCGCCTAGACGACAAAAGAAGCACACCATAAACTTTATCTATGGTGGACCTGCAGGGGGCGACACGCCTGCGGAAAGAAAGAAGTGGAGCCGGCGGCTATACGTGGGAAAAGTGGCGAGTCTTCCCAGAGAAAAGAAACAGAGACAGGAGGCCATCACCTTCTCTGGTGATGACCTCCCAGAGGGCCCGTTACCCCATCATGACGCCCTGGTAATTGAGATGGACGTCAACGATGTCATTGTCCGCCGCATCTTAGTCGACACGGGAAGCTCAGTCAATATGATGTGTTACGATGCCTTCACCAAGTTAGGAATACTTAGGAACCAGCTCAAAGAAGTACGTACCCCACTCTTTGGATTTATGGGTGCTTCAGTGGAGACGGAGGGGTCAATGGTCTTACTAGAGGAGATAGGCACGAGCCCTAACATTCGAAAACTTGACTTGAAATTTATCGTGGTAAGACTCACTTGTGCACACAACATCATATTAGGGAGACCGGCACTGGAGAACCTCAAGGCCATAGTGTCGGAGGAACACTTGTGTATGAAGTTCACCACTCCGAGCGGGATAGGGGTCATCAGAGGAGACCAGCGAGCAGCCCGCATTTGATACGTTAAAGCATGCAAAAAGATTGGCAGAAATGATCCATAAGTCCACATCATCTGTAAAGATAATCGATCAGGTATGGAGCTAGGAACATTTGATTAAGTATTTTCTTTAATATTCTAGTAGTCGT